GATCAGTTCATGAGCTGAAGCATAGAACGGAAAAGAGTAGTGAGAAAAACTGTCATTTAGGTATTTAAAACTCAAAATATCCCGGTACAGACACACCTTAAGGCTTGTTCTTCCAAGTCGGTTAGTAATATTCGTTCGAGAAACAGAGTGACAGTAGCATCACTGTTTTCATACAGAAAATAGAGCTATTGTTTCAAATTGAGGTATGTGCCGTGACGGAGTACTGTTTTCCTTCCGAAGGAATAAAAAGGGCTACCTTTTCTGTGAAATATGAATAAATGTGCGTGCGCAAAATAAATAGATAAAAGCGCAAATCAAGAGCCTGGTGCAAATATATTTTAATTAAGGGCAAGGGTTTGGTCCTCAAGGCGGACCCGTTCCCCAAACAAAACGACTTTGTTTATCGCTTTAAGGAATGCATAGACCTATAACTCGGTAGGAAATATGAAAATGAAAATATTTTGAACATTTTCAACCCCTAAAAAATGCCGACTTAGGGAAATAAATCAGATCCAGCTTCTCCCAATCGGAGTTTGTGTCTGGAAATATGTTGTCTAATTTATATAGGAAATACCATCTGTAAATGGGAATGCCACGGATAAACTTGCTGCTGTTAGCATGCTGTTATTGATATTGATAAGGCGGAACAGTGGTGATCGACCGTCAACCGCCGCCCAACGGTACCTTTCGGAAAGCACAATATATCTACCGCAAAACATTAAAAAAGAAACAATTTTTTCCTGGGTAAGAACGGCTAAGATATACTTAGATTTTTTGAACCTGAAACGCTCTTAACATTTCTTGTGTTGCGTCTCACTGACGTGTCCTGGAACGTACAACCGAGCGCATACAACCCCAGATCGTTGCTTTGAAATCAGAACCGAATTTACAAGACAAGCTCAGTCTACGGTTATGTTAAAATATCGGTCCTTAAAGGCATTTGTTCATTAGCAATTTAGATCAGTGTAAACCTTCATCCAGCTTAGCTACCCGGGGGAGTTACTCCTCGACTATTGTGGTAGGGGTGTGTGGCCCGAATCTTGAAACCCTTGAATTACTCTATCTCAGACAAAAATCTGCGACTTTGCAAACCCCTATTTCGGACCTGAGCTAAAACTCGATACCCCATTCCAGTCTTCTAATCAATGATCATAGTTTATTGCTCTAAGATATGACCGAGTAACCAGAAAGGGCTTCTATTTACCGGCAAACAGCTTGAGAAGGATTACATATTGGCCAATGTTGATAAGGAAAAAAATAAGTTTCTTGTAGAGTGAATAACATACCCTATTTCACCAAAATGGTCAAATCTGTGTCCATTTTCAGATCAAAACAGCTCACTGAAAACCGTACCCAGTTAGGGCGGCACATACCTATATATAGCCCATATGGCCCATATAAGGGAGTTCCCTCCACCCCCCTACCTGGGCTTAGCTAAGACTTTCGACCATGAATTCAATACTCACCGTTGTTTATCCGAACACATGCCTCGGCTGAATATCAATTAGCTACCCTGCGACGCCCTTTCTTGCCGACTGGATTTTGACGGTGTACGTTGACGCCATTCCGCCCGTAACGCCGGTCAAGCTACGTCTTTTCCATCGGTCATGTGACTTAAATTAGTCGTACGTGGTTTTCAAGTTGCGCTCCGCTTGGAAAGTAAGATATGCAAAAGGCACTCATTTCATTTGCTTTTACATCAGTTCCTTTTAAATTCTCGTTAATTGTCGAGTGCTTTGTACATGAGCAGCCGTGAGCCTCTGGCTCAAACTTTAACATTAATAAATTGATTGACCGATCGATCGATCGATCGATCGATCGAACGATTGATTGATTGATTGATTGATTGATTGATTGATTGATTGATTGATTGTCTATACTACGAGCTTTATGGTCTCTATTTTTTGTCCGTGCTTTTCGTGTCCTCTTTCGCATGAAACACTGAGCCTTTACCGAATTAATACTTGCCAGAAGCTAGAAGAGAGAGGAGAAAGGNAAAAAAAAAAAAAACAGTAAGGATAAGGAATAGATTGTTTTCGACATATTAAAATTCAGCTTGGCAGCGAGGCCTAGAGGACATAAACAAAGGAAACTGAATGACCATGTTTATTCATTTTTTTGTTTGTGTTCTCAATATCAAACTAAATTTTAATATACCGAAAGTGGCCTATTGCTCGCGTACCATGATAAGGCCTCGTCGTAATGTCCGCCGGTCACGTCTCAACTTCCGTAAAAAAATGTTTTCAACGATACTAAAATAATTTGACCGACATTTTAGGTATGATTTCTTGTTGTAGAACCCTATTGATCCGATCTTGTACAGCCGACCTCGTTGGCAAAGCAAGCTGATCGATGGAATCATGCAAAATATTTTCTTTTTACTTGAGAAAAAGAACAGTGATAACACAATTCTGTTTGCAATGGCCTAGGTCACTCCCAATCTCGACATACATGTATTGGCTCAGAAAGCGTCTAAATTCCACTCGCTGATTATGATTATTGAGTCTGATATTAGCTGATATTGCTATAAAGTATTTCCGAAGAAAAAATATCTGTTCAAAGGTCGTCAACTCTACCCCCTCTTGTGCACTACGTGACTCTGATTTTGACCAATGAGGTGATGTTGGAGTGTTTTAAAAACCTGGCTTAGTGCTGAAAGGAAACCAGCCATCTCTTTAGGAGTCCCAGTGCCGTCCATGATCATATGCATTGAGTTCTATACCAATGATTGGTGTTTATAAACGTTCCATCGGTTAACTTAGGCATAGTATTCCTCGGTGGAATGTCATTGCGGCTACCTCGGCCTGATCTGGTGGTAGATATATATTAACATCACTGCGTATTTAATAACCCGCTCAACCGGGACGTAAAAACAGCGTTTAGCCATCGGCGCTCTTTAAAGAAGAAGTAAGAATTCCTGCAGAGCCCTTGAAGGATTGCAAGCAGTTATCTCCAATGCTACAAACCTATCTGAGTTTCGGATTGTGCGACTATTTCAAAGACTATAGCCTCTGTTTGATATCTGACAAGGTTAGAAAACATAAAACTTTCTCTCTGAAATATCAGTTCTATGTTGATATATGGCACATGCATAAGACGTGATATATTGAAACATGCTTTACTGACGAGTTGTTACTTTTATTGACTTGCAGTGATTGTTGCCAACCGATGTGGAGAACTAAAGTACTGGTGACGCATTTTCAAAACGGATAAAATCTCACTGGAGCTATGGCCGCTTAAAGTCAAGGTAATGAGACAGTGTATAAGCATGCGCGGGTATGTGTTCTTTATTTGTTTTTATGCCTGTATCACTA